AAGGAAGGAAGGAAGGAAGGAAGGAAGGAAGGAAGGAAGGAAGGAAGGAAGGAAGGAAGGAGCTGAAACATACACACACACATGTACACACACTAACAAGAGAGACAAGATGGAGACGTCTTCTTCCATGAAAGAGTATTTGAGAGAAGATTTAAAAGTCAATTCGAAGCCCTGGGAAAATTTGGTAAAAAGAATTTCACTGATGGGACAACATGATCAAAAGTCTTCCTGGGCTTGCCTGAGTCAACAAGATTCTAACTTTTCAGAAGGGCTGGAATACTGTGATGGCTAAAGTACCCCAAGCAAATGTGAAGTTATGATCCTCTCCAAGGAGAAGAGATCATGTGAACCGTGGTTCAGAAAATCAAATAAATAACCATTGAAATATGTTTTTATTAGAGGGGAGTTGCAAAATACCATTGCTCTTAGGTCTACAGAAAAAGAGCCAGAGGAAAAGGCAAACACAAGCAAGTAGGAAGTAGTATAGCAACTTGGCCTGTCAGGTGGCCATGGTGACAGAAGGTATAATTTGTAGCATCTTACACAGGATCAATGGGATTTGCTGATAGGTCCAATAAAAAGAGAAATAACAAAGAATAATTGGAATGTGCCTAAGGCTTCTGATATGAGCAACTGGTTGGATAATGGGGTTCCTGACAGTGGGACAGAAAATACCAGGGTTTCATAGGGAACATTGCAGAAGAGGGCTCGGAAAGATGGCAAGAGCCAGAAGAACAAGGAGTTGGCTGTGAGATTGTGTAACCTAAGAATGTTGGAATCTACACCCATAAAGTCTCACCAACATGACCGCCTACACGTGAGCTGAATGAAGAAAAGAACGGATAGCCAAACTGGTAAAAGAAAGCCCAGGAGATAGCAATCCTACAGAAAGAACTACAGGCAACTAAGGAATGCTGGGACAGGAGAAGTAGTCTTCTGCAGGGAAGAACACTCCAGTACCAAATGGTCAGCCCTAGAAACATAAATGCAAGTAAGTTTATATAGACTGAGCAGGTACTTAGGAGTGTCTGTGTGTGTGTGTGTGTGTGCGTGGGGAAGGGAAAACCGTGTCATCATATAATCTCAAATCTAAAAGAAAGAATTTTGAAAAGGAAAACACCTGTGATATTTGTGTTTCCATGCCCAGTTTATTTAAAATAACTTCATTATATCCAGAAAATTGTTGGAGTGACGGTTTAATGGGTAAGAGAGTTTATTGCTCTTCCAGAGTAAGACCATCCACAACAGATGATTCATAGCCACTCATGACTCCAGGCTGGAAAGGAACCATAGCCTCTGGCCTCTGTTGGGACTGCACTCGTTAGCATATATCTGAACACATGTTGCACACACATACACACACACACATACATACACACACACACATACACACACACACACACACACATACACAGCTAATTAAAATATAATCTGTTTTTTATTTTTTTAAAAATTAGAAATGGTTCAGCCAAAAAAATCACTTGCCACCAAGCAAGACAATATGAATTTGACTCCAGGGACCCATGTGATGCAAGGAGAAAACCATCTTCAGCAAGTTATCCTCTGACCTCTGACCTCCACTTGCATGTGATACCCATGCCTACCCATCTGCCCACACACATTTAAAAATAAACATTTTTAAACTTTAAAAAAAAAAAGGATAGTATGGGAAGTCCTTTCCAGAACAGGCAAGAGAAAGAAACAAAAGGCGTTCGGATCAGAAAGAAAGAATTAAAAGACTTATTGTTTGCTGATGACACAATCTTTTGACTAAAAAAAACTACAGAGTACACACATTCACACACACACAAGCGCACACGCACACGTGCACATGCTGTTAGAATTCCTGTATGCGTCTCTTTCTGCTTTGGTTGGTTGCCTATATCATGCCTCCCTTAGTGTCATAATTATCTCAGGAAAAGAACTATAACCTTTTCATTTTTGTTCCACTGCAACTCATAAAATGTATCTTGAACACTCGAGGCTTTAAGAAAATAATAAACTGTCTTATTGAATAAATCAACGTTTGGGGTACTAGTTTAAAAATCCACGGCATACCTCTTCCATATCAGGGAGGATGATTTTCTTACCCAAATAACTTGCCTTTGAATACACATGGACAAGCTGGAGACTGTATTACAAGGGAGGACAAAATATGCAGGTTATTCCTTCCCTTAAACAAAGAGAAGTTCTGCTATGCGTCATGGAAAATTAAAGAGCAGGAAGAGAATGTGCCAACCAGACTTCTTGCATTATGATTTAGGGGAGATACTGTTTTGTCTCCCGTTCCTAGGTTCTAACTTCCTTCTCAAGTACTTAAGCTGGATGTTCTGTTGACTTTGTTTCTAGATTACACTGACAACCATTGGCTATGGAGACAAAACCCCCCTAACTTGGCTGGGAAGATTGCTCTCTGCGGGCTTCGCGCTCCTTGGCATTTCTTTCTTTGCACTTCCTGCTGTGAGTATCTTCTCAACAATAAAGCCCCTTCAATTGGGTCCTCAAGATTTGTTGGAGGGAGGGAATCCTCGCACACTGATGTTCTGACGAACAAGTCTATTTCATTGACCAATACTATTATTTTAATAAATGTTGACTTTTTTCTAAGTGTATCCAGGTAGATGATGTGTAAAATATGATCCTGAGTCTCCAATACCGGATAGATCTACATAAACAAATGATTCAGTTGTTTTTGTCAACATGCCACTAATCCATCTTAAATGCTTATAAACTTTTAAAGATACCTTCATTTAAACTAATTACTGCAATTTGGCTTCTAATGTACACAGATGGAAAGATAGATGTTCACAGGAGTTCTTTCCTCTTCCCAAACACTTGAATGAGAAGCATCTGACCTTAAGTGTTGTAAATGTGTCAGATGATTTATACAAGTGTCACAACCATTGATTTTTTTTTCCTCAATGAGCGGTTTCTGCATTTTGTCAGAATGAAGAACACATTTATCTCCCTCTGGGCTCCTGATTAGTTTCTCTTCAAAGGACGAGGCTTGACTTCCTGGTAATTTTAGCCTCTTGTTTCTTTAAGGGCAGTTGGACATGACATTACCATTTGCCTCTACCCTCCGGGCATCATGTTTTGGCCTCTCCATCTGAAGTGGAGCTGGGCATCAGGGAGCCAATAGTAAGAAGTGAGGGTCAGCCACAACAGGTGTGCCTAAGAAAAACAGTCTCCTCCTTCTTCCAGGCAGCAGGCGTGCCATGTGCAACCTCTGTCAAACTGAAACCTGAGAGCACATGCCAGAGAAATCCGAGCACACCGAGGTCAGATGAGGATTTTCAGTACCACAGACATTAAGTCACTATGCTTGTCGTTTGACAGTAAATGACCTCAGAGGGCACTCCTGCCCTTCCCACACTCAGGTCCCAACTTTCCACTGGCCAGCTGGTAAAGGCCCATACCACTCAAAACCATGGCAGGAGACTGCACAGACTATGCACAGACTTAGGTTTTATGCCTCAGTTAGACTTTTCATTTCTCACTAACTGTGTAACGATATTAGTGTGCTAGGACCCCTTTGACCAGGTACCACAGACTTGAGGACTTCAACAATAGAAAGTAGTCTCATGGCTTTTGGAGGCTAGATATTGAGATCGAGGAATTACCAGATCGAGTCCCCTCTAAGAGCTCTGAGAGGAAGAGTACTATCCGAGCCTCCTTCCTTGAGGTACTGAGGGAGGGCCATTCCTTTATGTGTCCTTATAACATTTATATTCAAATTTATTTATCTTATAAGTACATCATTTGTATGATTAGAATCTCCTCTAATGACTTCATCCTAACTTAACTACCCCTGGTGAGGACCCTCCTTGTATTCAAATAACTCACATTCTGAAGTATATGTAGTATATGAATTTGTGGAAACACAATTCAGACCAGTGATTTTTTTTTCTTAGAATATTTCTTCATTAAAACAGGGGAGGAAGACTTATGATAAGGACTGGTTGTGTCCAGATAAGTACTAGAATGAGTAATGTGATCATGTAAATCAACTGATTACTATGAAAAAAACTAAAATACTCTCCTTAACTTATGACTATAAAAATATATCTTTCCAGATACAAAATGGTAATATAAGATAGACATAGGGGCAGAATCTCCCATATCTAAAGTAGATTCTTTTTGTTGTTTTGTTTTAAGTCAGGGGTACTCTGTATAGCCCTGGCTGTCTTGACCAGGCTACATAGCTACCACATCCAGCCCAAAATCAGCTTTTATGACTGTCCCAGCAACCCAGAAAAAAAAAAAAAAAAAAAAAAAAAACAGAGAAAGACTCAATCATCAGATTCCCTACAGAAAAATACACCTTTTTGGAAATAGTAAAATTCAGTCTTGGGTTTCTTCTCCCCAAAAGCAATGCCACAAAATACCTGCTGTTTTATGTTTATATTTACCCCGAGACCACAGAGATGAATGGACTGTTAGGATAGATGGTAGAGGACAGCAGAAAAGGCACTGCACAGGAAGAAACATTGGAAATCTAGCAGCAAGGACAGGAAATGAAATTCTGCAATAAGCAAGCAGAGATGATTGTTCAAAGTACGTGAAGACTCAGGATTAGTTAGAGTCAGGGTCAGGATCTCCCATAGTACAAAGCAAGGATCCTATAATGACACTATGAGCCATTACAAGAAAGTTAAACTATGTTGTTGTGTTAGGTTACAGTCTTTCATGGAAACGTTTCCAATAAAGCGATTGCCATTTTTATATACAAATTAAATCAATCTATGTTAGAAACTCATAAAAATGTGCTTGTGCTAATCATACCATTCCTAAAAATGCCAAGGGAAGAGAGGCCTCTCCTGTGCATCTTTTTAATGTGATCTCACTACAGGTGCTGAGCTGTCACTTTGTCCTCTGTGCCTGCCAGCCAGCAATTCTTCCTGATTGAAATTTTGAACAATGAGTCAGCATTTTGCTGGGAGAGTCTCTTAGTCAGGGTTACTTTTTGCTGTGATGGAGCACCATGACCAGAAGCAACGTGGGGAGCAAAGGGTTTATTTCACTCACAATTCTATGTAAAAGTTCATCTTCAAAAGCAGTGGGAGCAGGAACTCAAGCAAAGCAGGAACCTAGAGGCAGGAGCTGATACAGGGGCTGATGGAGGGATGCTGCTTACTTGCTTGCTCCCCCTGGCTTGCTCACTCTGCTTTCTTATAGAACCTGGGACTACTAGCCAAGCAATAGCACTACCTATAATGCACTGGGACACCCCCCCCCATCAATCACTAATTAAGGAAATGCCCCACAAGCTTCCCTACAATCCCCATATTATGAAAGCATAATTAACTGGGGTTTCCTCCTCTCAGATGAATTTAGCTTGTGTCAAGTTGATAAAAATATCTTCAGCACAGTTGACCTCTTGCCACCCTGCCACATAAATAAATCACTGCTAAGCCACCTTGCCCTTCTTGTCCTTCCCAAAGATTACACATTAATATTGATATCACAATATATAATATTTTCAAACTTAAAGGTTCCACAGTCTTACAAACTCAAACACTTTAAAACTTTAATCTCTTAAAAAAAAAAAAGGCCAAAGTCTTTGCTAAAATACAAAGTCTCTCAACTGAAGGCTTCTATAAAATCAAAAATAAATTACTTTCTTGCTTCAAGAGGAAAAAACCAGGTCATAGTCACAATCTGAACAAAATCAAAGCAAACTCCAACTATGTAAATAACGCAATAACCAATGTCTGGGATCCATGATCTTCTGGGCTTCTCCAGAGGACTTGGGTTACCTCTCCAATTCTGCCCTCTGAAGCATACACAGCTTGTCTTCTAGGCTCCCACAGGCTCCACTCCAGGGTTCCTATTGTTTCTGGTGGTCATCCCATATCACTGGCCATCTCCATACTGCTGAGGTCTCTTGCCACAACTGGGCTGCACTTTCACTAATTAGTAGCCTTACTTGGGGTCTCTTTAGGTACTCCATCCTTGCCACACAGTACCAAGCCTCAGCTGTTCTCCTTGACCCCATCATGCCTTCAAAACCAGTACTTCCTCAGCTGCCAGCAGGAGGTACAACCTTGGCTGCCTCTAGAAGAACACAGCTTCTGTGTGCTGACTCTGAGGAAACACTTCCCAGAAGACTTTACCTCCGTAATACTGATCTCTTCTTAATCACAGTTGATTTTACAGCTCCAGCTGACCAGAAACCACAGACCTTTACACAAGAGGCCCTGTAGAGTCTTTGCTTCCCTCTGAGACTTCACAAGCCAGGATTCCATCGTCTACTGCATTGCTCTTAACATCCTTATCTCCCAAGCTCCAACAAAACAGCTCACTGAGCTCTTAATGAACACTCAACAGCTTTTCTAGCCCAGAGTTCCAAAGTCCTTGTACAATCCCAGAACAACATGGTCAGGTCTGTCACAGCAATACCTTACTATTCAGTACCAACTTCTGTCTTAGTCACTGTTCTATTACTATGAAGAGACACTATGACCAAGGCAACTCTTATAAAAGAAAGCATTTAATTGGATGCTTGCTTACAGTTTCAGGGGGTCAGGTGACTATCATCACGGAAGGAGGCATAGGGGCAAGTGTGTCACTGGAACAGTAGCTAAGAGCTACACTCTGATCCACAAGCAGAGAGAATCTTAGCCTGCCATGGGCTGTTTAACGCCCAAAGCCCACCCCAGTGACACACTTCCTCCACCAAGGCCACATCTCCTAATCCTTCTGAAATAGGGTCACTCTCTAATAACTAAAGCATTCAAATACACAAGCCCATGGGGGCTATTCTTATTCAAACCAACACAGAAAGGTAGAAGAGGATTGTGAGCCTTTCCTCTTTGGGGTTTCCCTAACCCTGGAAACTCAGTAGCCATGGCATCCTATCTTACCTTAACAGCAGAAGAACTCTGTTGCACCTTACAGGGTCAACAAGCCACTTATCCCAAAAGCCAATGTAGGCTACCTCCTCCAGCTCCCTCCAGCTCCCTCCAGCCCTAGGCTACTGAGCTCCTGCAGGCTGACCAGACTTCCCTATAGCAGCCTCGCAAGCCAGTCTTGCTAACTCCTCCTGCTGGACCCCCTAGCTATAAATCGCTTTTCTTATGAAGTAATTGGGATTTATACAGATTGAATCCCTTTAGCTATCCAACTGGCTTAAGTTCAATGCAACAAGTAGTTCTGTTTGATTTGAAATATTAACTATTCCACAAATACATATTAGCTACTATCTGCAATCATTAAAAATACTGACAAATATACTTTTAATAGATAAAAAAAATCTAAAGTGTTAAAAGTCAACATAGGGTGGTTCCAATCAATATTGAGGGAGAAAACTGGACTGCTTGAAGTTGAATGATATGAAGGAGGTAAACATTTCGAATTTTTGTCAAGGTATTTCTTCCCACTTGGCATTTAGGTAACATTTATTTGCCTAGAATCAAATCTTAAAGCCTAAAACTTTCATTTTTGTTAGCCTAGAAAATTAGCGAAAATCAATTTGAAGGAATTGCTCCTATTACCGGTATTGGAAGAGATGGCAAACAAATAAAAGATGAAGCCATGTTGCATCTGTGTTTACAACATAACAGACGTCTGTGTAGAGATGCCGACAGTATGTGAATAGAGGCGGGGGAAAGTTGACATAGAACATAATGAGACAGGGAACAGACCTGCTTAATAACTGCTGTAATGTGTGGTCTGGCACAAGGGACATGTAGTAAACAATTGCTAGCTACTAAAATATGCTTCAAAGTAATATGCCATGTGATTTTTAGTGTCATTGTCTATTGCTTTGTGGATACTAAAGTATACTATGTAGGACCTCTGTTTGTTTTCAAGAGGAGATTAACTCTGAACCCCCTTATTCATATGTTTAGTGCTGAAAATGATAGCTATTGGTTTTAACTCAATGTTTATTTTAAAAGTCTGAATTATGATCAGAGCAAGTAATATATAAATAAATCACAAATAAAGATATATGTTATAAAGCTGTTGTGTGTTCTCTCCTACATGTTTATACTTAATGAGAAATAAAGTTAGGAGAAGAATCAGCTGATCTTTCCCAAGAAGTCTCATTTAACAAACAAACAAACAAACAAATAAACAAACAACAGGTTCAAATGACTAGAGTTGATCTGGATTTGGAAGTGGAGAGCATTGGTGATTCCAAGTGGCGAAATAATATTTAAATCTACAAACCAGATCATACAAAGCAGGTTTTATAAAGCTTAGCTTATGTTACTTCAACCTGTATGAGATGGAGATGCTGGACAGTACAAGACCTGAACTGAAAGAGAGAGAAAACATAACCCATGACTTAATTGTTCATTTCAGGGCACAGTCATTCATCCTAATTAGTAGTAGAGGAGGGCAGTGCCTACTAGTAGTAAATAGTATTATCTTACAATTTTGTTATTTTAAACATGACTGCACTACCTATTGTCTGGTTATTGTCACAATGTGCTCAGAATTGTGAAATCTCAAGATAAGATGGAAGGTCAAGGACTATCTAAGGTCCAAAAATATCTTAGTCGAGTTGTCACAGAGCTGATACCTTCTATAGATAAAATAAAATATTATTTTAAAACCCACCACTTCTCCAAGAGGTATCTCACCTTTAAGATAACAAGGGTTGGGCATTTCTTGCCTGCAGAAGATACTGACTTAGTACTGAGAAGATACTCAACTCTAACCTAAGGGTTAGACTTCTTGAAGTTTAATAAAAGGCAAATAATTTATAGCTAGCAAGTAAAATCCACAGACTTGAAAGCACTGGAGCTCCCAGCATCATACTAATGAAGTCAAGAACATAGGCAAAGCCCAGAGACGGAATTTAGCAAGCTCTGAATGTGAACCCAAGGTTGAGACAAAAGGCATCTTGATTTCACAGACATCAGCCTGAAACAAACTAAAAAGAGAAGTAAGCCTCAAAGAACCAGAATTTTCAGTTCAAGATGATAAGCAAAAGGAAATCAAACCAGCAGCGATAACAAAGCACCCAGGACTAGAGATGGCTCAGTAGTTGAGTGTATGCCCACTCTTGTAGAAGAAAGCCTGGGTTCAGTTCCCAGAACCCACATTGAACAGCATTCAACCACCCTTATCTCCAGTTCCCAGAGATCTGACTTATCATTCGGAATCCTCTTTCCTGATCACATACATGCATATACATATAATTTACACTAAAATAAGCCATTAAAGGACAAAATACACCTTAAAATTACACAAAGGAGAGTATATTCATTTTTCTCACCCCACATTCTAAATAGGCAAGCCAAAACCAGAATAGGTAAAATATACTAAAAGGGCCGGTTAAAAGTAAGGAAATCAGGGATGAGTTTGTCAATGAGTCAAGCTCTTGATGTTGTTGTTGGGGGGGGGTCTCTTGTTTGTTTGCTTGTTTGTTTTCATACAGACAAGCCAAATCTCCAGCTGTAAACCTGACAGCCTCCCTTTAATGGCTATAGCTTGACTAGATCTAAACCCACCCACTCCCCTCAATTTTTTCCAGATTTTGTTCATGATGGATAATGTACAATCCCAGTCTCATCAGTGTTAAAAGTAACCCAATATCTATAAGAGCAATGCTTTAAATCACCCAAATTCAAAACCCAGCCCAGTCCAAAGCAGAGTTCACCTTCCTAAATTCTACCATTTAAGACCACTTGCTTGAATTAAATGATCATTTCCGTCTCTAAGTGTGAGGCTTCTTCTGATATCTGAAATTGACTGATAATAATTCCCAGTTGATTTACCACAGAACAAGAGTCATTATCTTTGGGCAGTATTAACCAACAGCTTGCCATTATCTAGCAGTATTAGAACAAAGATAAATAATGTTTTTTCTTAAAATAAGCAATACATTGATTATCAACAGATCGCATACTGTTTGTTTTGTCCTTTTTTTTTTTTTTTTTTTTTTTACAATTCATTGTAGAGGTGTTTGAGATATTTGTTCCTTAAAATGCTACTATTCTGTATTTCGTTCCAGGGCATTCTTGGCTCAGGTTTTGCATTAAAAGTACAGGAACAGCACCGCCAGAAGCATTTTGAGAAAAGAAGGAATCCAGCTGCCAACCTCATCCAGGTACGTGTCAGCATGGTAGGCAGAAGGCAACATCTACCTCCAGAACTGCTTCATGGGTCATTTTCCAATTGCTGTGCTTCATTGTATCCTAGAGCTATTTACTATTTGGTCATGAAATTAAAAAAACAAAAACAAAAAAAGGTCAAACCTTAATGAACTGTCTTGAATTTGGGCAGGTATTGTCCTTTTCCCCAATAACAACCACAAAGCATGTTTTCCAGATAATGGTCTATGCATTATTAAGTTAGTAATCAGCACCACCAACACTGTGCAGAGGTCACCAGTCCTGTCACTCCTGGAAGGACTTAATCCATTTTATGAATCACTGTATGAAGAATAATTGGTCATTAAGTGATAGAGCAGAGCACAGTATCATCCCTGGCATCCTGTGACTTTCTCTAGCCTGTTGTATATTACTATTGTGAAGAACATACATGTTTAGAATGTTGAGGCTTAGTTTTTGTAGAATTGCTTTTAGTGCACTTCAGGGAGATAGCCTGAGGGCATTAATGCTTGAGAATATTAGATAATAAGCATATTGTTTGAAGCTAGTGCGTAATACATGGGTTTTGTGTTAGCATTTATTTTTTTTCAACAATTCAGGATATGTGTTAACATTTTTCTAAATATTTCTCTTTTTTTGCCATTCATTTTTGTTTGTTTTATTTTGTTTGTTTGCTTGCTTGTGTCTTGTTTTGTTTTGGTAGTTGGTGATTTTGTTTGGGGGGGGTTGTTCTGTTTTCTTTTTGCTTTGGGATTTTGGTTTTGTTTTGGATCTTCACTAGTGGTAGAGTACAGAGTATGGCTATTTCCTATGCCTTTTGGGAATTGAACTGTGTTAAGAATCACAAGGTATCTTTTCTACATCAATGATATGAAGTTATTATTGTACAAAGAACATAATAGTTCTATAACCTAAGGTTATCTCTCTGCCCTCTGCCTGACAAGTAGCTGAGCCTCCAGGGTTTGAACCTGGGGATGCTAGGATGTATATATGAGACACTAGAGGAATTGTTTCCATGGGGATATATATGATGGTTTGTATATGCTCAGCCCAGGGAAAGGCACTATTAGAAGGTGTGGCCCTGTTGGAGTAGGTGTGTCACTGTGGGTGTGGACTTTAAGGCCCTCATCCTAGCTGCCTGGAAGCTAGTATTTTCCTAGAAGCCTTCTGATAAAGATGTAAAATTCTCAGCTTCTCCTGCACCATGCCCATCTCTGCCATGCTCACACCCTGATGATAATGTTCTGAACCTCTGAACCTGTAAGCCAGCCCTAATTAAATGCTGTCCTTATAAAGAGTTGCCTTGGTCAGTGTCTGTTCACAGCAGTAAAACCCTAACTAAGACAGAAGTTAGTACTGAGAGTGGGATATTTCTTTTTGTTTTTTGTTTTCTTTTTTTAATTTATTTTTAAATCAAATCGTAATTTTTACTTATTCACCCAGGAGTTATAAACATAAAAAGGCAGGACATGGGGAAGGGGATAACATCGGAGTGTGAGTGTTCAGGGGGGCACAGATATCTTTCAGAACAGGGTATCAGCTGGGTGAAGGTTCAGGGGACAGGTCATTATGACTCTGCCTATGATTCACTTGTCCTTATCTAAGTTGGTACTATCCGCCGAGACTATCTATTTACAAGGTCTATGACTACTCAGGCTGGTAAATTTCCACAAAAGCTGCCTGTTTACAATAGCTTATAGCCATTTGTTTCAATGTTTTTCCACAGAGACTCAACACTTTGTGTTAGCATACATGTATGACAGACCTATTGCTGGTTTAGGCCTATGGCTGATTTTAGGCCTTCAGTGTATAAGCAGGGCTGCCTCTGACATCACCTCCCTTCTCTAAGTATTGAAGGGTTGTGGTGATTCTAATCTTGCAAAGGTGGGGATAGAGGCCTGACCTCCAGTAATTGAAGAGGACCTTGTAATGGCTCTGGTCCCCCTGTCGTTGTCCAGTGAAGCATAAAGGCCATAGAATGGGATATTTCTGTGTTAGGCCTAACCATGCTTTTGTTTAGAAGAATGTGGATTTAGGGACTTTGGATTTGGGAAACCATGGAATGTTTAAGAAGGATTTAATGAGCCATCCTCATATGAATATGGAAGACTTTGTTGCTGTGAGTTATTTGAACTGTGCAGACCTGGCCCAAGAGGTTTCAGAGGAGAAGAATGTTTCTGTGATATTTTGGTGAAGAATGTGGCTGCTTTTTGCTCTTGTCTGAAGAGTCTACCTGAGGCTAAAGCAAAGCAATTTATATTAACTGCATTGACAAAGAACGTCTCAAAAGAGCCCAGTAAAGACTTTGTTTTCTGGATAAGTCTCGTGAAGAACATTTTGAACAAGTGTAGCAAGCTTAGAAAGGAAAAATATAAAATATATGGTTCGAGTATTAAAGGGGCACCAGGAAGTGAAATGGAGCCAAATCCTGAGTTCTAGGAGATGACAGATTAAGGGAGTGGGACTTTGAGGCATGATCTCACCCAGCTAAATTTAGATCCAGGCCTGTGGTACACACCTTTAATTCCAGGAGATAAAGCCAGCCAGATCTCTGAGCTCAAGGCCAGCCTGGGACAAAGCAAGATCTATGTGAAGACACGCTTAAGAGGCATGGTGGTACATACCTTTAATCCCAGGAGACAGGCATGGAGATCTCTGAGTTCAAGGTCAATCTATAGAGCAAGATCCAGAACAACCAAGTTTAGGCAGTGAAGGAGTTGAAAAACCAGAAAGCTAGTGGTAATAGAACACGGGGGCCATGTTCTAGCTCCTGCAAGCAGCAGAACTCAGCAAACTTTGACCGTTTGACTCTAGCTTTAGTCAGGAATAGAAGGGACTACTGGGACAATTGATGCTGGTTAATTGATGCTGGAGGTAAGAAATTAGAGGTGATTAAGAAGAGGCCAGCATCACTGAGGTGAGACCTTCTGGGAAGTGTTTTCTGAGAGCACAAAGAAGCTGTGTTCCAGGGAGAGCCAAGATTGTACCTTGTGCTGCAGCTGGACTTGGTAATGTGTAAGAGTCACTGAGGTGGTACTGGTTTGGAAGCATGACGGTGTCATGAACGGCAGCTGAAACTTGGCACTTCGAGAGACCATGGAAGGCCATTGGTAAAGGTGAAGCCTCAGTTGTATTTGATAGCCCAAGTCTGAAGGGGTCATGCAAAGAAGCTTAGGCTTGGCACCATGAAGAGAGCCTATGAGAGGCCATATCAGTAAAGCCTAGTTGCAGCAGAAGACCCCCATGTATTGCAGATGCCAGTATCATGGTATGATCACCAGGAACAACAGCAGCAGTGGAGTGGATCAACCTGAGCTTAGAGTGCTACAGAGGGCAGAGCTAGAGAAGTGACACCAGCCCTTTGGAGAAGCCCAGAAGATCATGTGTGGATCCCAGACACTGGAACAAAAAGCTGTAACATTGAAGTTGTCTTGGAGACCCCAAGATTTTTGAGATCCCAGAGGAATGGTCTCTCTGCTGAGGAAAGCTGCTAACAGGGAAGTGGAACCAGTCCAGGAGAAAGAAGTTTGTTGCAGTCAACAAAGATTAAAAAAAAAAAAAAAAAAAAGAGTTGGAGATCTGAAGATAGCCTTGAAATCAGCCATGGAGATGTAGAGTTTAGAGTTTGCCCAGCTGGTTTCTTGTATTGCTTTGGAGATTACAGTTAAGAGATTGTAGGAACTTTGAACTTTGGACTTTTAATATTGTTGAGCCTGCTATAGATTATGGGGACTTTGGAAGTTGAACTAAATGTATTTTTCATTATGCTTTGTTTTGGTATGGCCTCCATAGAGTCATATGTTTTCACAAGTATATGGGGGCTAAAGAATGGAATGTGATAGTTTGTATATACTGATCCCAGGGAGTGGCACCATTAGAAGTTGTGGCCCTGTTGAAGTAGGTGTGTCACTGTGGGTGTGGGTTTTAAGACCGCCATCCTAGCTGCTTGGAAGCCTTCTGATGAAGATGCGAAATCCTCAGCTTCTCCTGCCATGCTCCCACCTTGATGATAATGAACTGAACCTCTGAACCTGTAAGCCAACTCCAATTAAATGTTGGCCTTATAAAATTTTCCTTGATCATGGTGTCTATTCACTGCAAGAAAACCCTAAGACGATATAGCAAGCACATTGCTTTAATTTAGACCTCAGGTTTGAGTGGGTAAACTTCTCAGTTGCAACCACTGTGAACTGTTCCGTTAGCTTTGCCTATGTATCTGGAATGCAGTTCATCCAACATAAAGGAAGCTAGAAAGGAGACTGTGGTTTATCTGTATCCCAAAGGAAATCTGTATCAAATGACTAAATAAGTGCACTAGTTTTAAACGTTATTTTACAGATGTTTACAAGAGATGGACCATTGGACATGAATTCCAAGGCAAACCATTGACAGTCACTATTCTTTTAAGCATTTTTTAAAAAGTAAATAAAGGCCAGTTGGTGTTGCTGCATGCCTTTAATCCCAAGACTCAGAGGCAGGCAGATCTTGTGAGTTCAAGGTCAGCTCGGTCTACATCGAGAGTTCCAGGACAGCCAGGGCTACAAAGAAAAACCCTGTCTCAAAAAAACAACAAAAGCAAGACAAAAGGTAAATCACAGTTGTAAATATGGCTGACCAGTGAAGACTGCTGCTCCAGAAGACCCTGGTTTAATTCTCAGTGCTATGATGGTTCATGTCTATCTGTAATTCTAGTTTCCTCTGGCCTCTACAGGCACCAGGCACACACAAGGTACACAGATAAACATGCAAACAAAACACCCATACACATGAAAACAAACAAAACTTTTCTTAAAAGATCACAAATGAATAAGTAAAATTGCCTTCTTGCCGAAAAAGTCCCTAAGTTCATAGAAGCTTAAGCTCTTTTGCCAGGAGCTGGGAATGCAATTCAATGACAAGTGCTTCTGTAGCCTGTATAAAGCCCTGGACGGAACCTCCAGGATTTAAAAGTCTGAAACCAAACCACAGTCAGCATAATGATAGAAGCACACACTAC